CGGCTTCTGCCCAGTCAAATTGCGATGAAATTCATGAAGGTAAAAATTTTGGTACACCAATATTGAAATATCAATGGCAAAACTGCAAAAATACATCTCTCTCTGTGCATTGCAGATTTCCTATCATACGTTATTTTCCACACAGAAAACTGCTGAACGTCATTTTTCTAAAATTTCAGTGATTTTTCTGCTCTATAAAGAGCATACTCTGTGAAAAGCCCCATTCAAGCCATAATGTTGATTCGCTCTCCTTTTAAAGAATAAAATAGGAGCCGAGATACGTTTAGTTTCACCGTTGATATATCTCGATATATAATTAGAAAGACACGAGGGAGTGTCTAAATGCAGAATTTCCAGATTTTTATGGTCCATTACAAAATTCAGATGTATAAACGAGGCAAAAAAGGGAAGAGCGATGCTAAGAAATCAAATATTTTATATTCATGAAAAGGGAATCTGCAGAATGATAAGACTCTGATTCAAGTATAGGGAAGTATATTTATTTAGTGAACATAGGAAGGCGTTCTTTTGAAATTAAATAAAATAATGAATGTATCAGCAGAATAAATTACTCCATCAAAGAAGGATACAAATTTTGAATATTACAGCTGTAGAGTAAAATAAAATTATACAATTTGAAGTGTCAGACTGAAAAAAACCTAAATTACTTCGTCTAGAGAGGGATACAAATTTAGAGTATTACAACTGTAGAATAAAATAAAATAATACAATTTGAATTTCAGATTGAAAAAGTGCTCAAGAACCTGAATGGTAATAACCATCTACTGAGGTAACGATCGAGGAGAAACAAAGAAAATATTAATCCTGCTAATGAGGAGTTTAGGAAAAATTGAGTAGCTGAAAAACTTGATGAGAATTTTACAATATACTTAAATTTTCAAAAACTATACACATTTAATGAAAAAAAGGACAATACAGAGCAAAATCTTGATTTTACAAACCAAAAAAAAAATAAAATCTATCTCCTTTCACGACAAAAAGAAATAGCTATTGAGTTCGAACTATAATTGAGATAAAAGACTGATTCTTTTAAGACCTCATTCTTGACAGATAGAGGTCTTACAGAAATGAGGCCTAATAGTCTCAAAAAAGATTGAAAAAACACAGTTAAGAGAAAGTCAGTATCAGTAACCAGACATTAAACTATTGACGTGATTTTTCAGAATTCTAAGCATTAATGCGTGTCCTGAAAATCTTGAACCACTTGATTAGAGAATAGAAGCGCACTCTCCTAAGGTCTGTTTCAAGTTTTGACGGAGAGCATCCATCTAAAATTTCCAAGTCATACTCTTGAAAATTGTGAGACCCTTTCAGACATCCAGTGCAACTAGAAAAAAGTAAATTGAGGTGAGTGATTACAAATGAATCAACGTTTTACAAAGAGAAAAATAGGCAAAAAGCACAGTATTTCTTCCTTTTAAAATTAGTGAAGTTTCGTAAAAGAAAGGCTGACTTATTCCATGAAACTAAGAGTTGAAATCACTAGAGAGGGGACAGCTAAAACATTGAATTTTTCTTCTTTTTATTAAGTTGAGATATAAACTGCATTTCTTATCTTTGCATCATTCCTCTTAACTTTCAAACTCATTCCATTACTAGTACTTGTCATTTGTAGCACTTAAAATGCTCCTGGTTCTCTGGGTCACTTAAAACTTATTTCACAATTTCAAAACCTTTGAGAAAAGATTTTCGTCGGCTATTCATAATGGTTATTATAATAATGAACTTTTGGGACACCTAACATTGTAACAATTGATTCAAGAATGAGAAAAACATGGATGAAGATAGGAGCATAGAGAAAAAAAAAAGGAGGTGTTTGCATTTCGGGCATATCAGACTTTTTTTGAGGACGTAAGTCAGTACGGTGACTTTTGTCATCAATTTTCTTGGAAATGATGTATTTTATAGACAAAGTGTTTGAAATTATATCATGAGTTGATTTAAGCAAAAAAATCGGACGCTGTGGTCCGTTTTTCATACTTCGAATTCCGGATTTTGCTGACCAGGTTGTACCAACCTACGACAATCCTCAAGATGCAAAGCACCTCCTTTTTTTTCTCTATGAGACAGAAGCAGATCCGGAAGGATGGCAACACTGGCTTTTCTCTCTTTAAACCTGTGTTGAATGAGCGATTCTTATCAGAGCACTTGGGAGAGAAACAGTGCTGCCAACTTGCTAGATCCACCAGTGGACGAAGAGAAGAAATCACACCAGAAAAATAAGGTTTGTTGTTTACAGAAAGAAATACTTACAGCACAATCTGATTCGGAGACACAGGAGGTAAACTTCGGTCGAATGGATAAAATACAACCTGCAAACTCGGTGAGTTAGGTTTCAACCCTCGCACCAATAACAGAGTTTGGTATATATATCGGACTTCAGCACTTTGATAAAAACACCTGAACGTCAGAAATAGAAGAGCAGAATGAAATTAAAAAATGGGGCACAAATCAATTAATGTGACTGATGCAAAATTGGAAAATCGAATGCATTCTTAGAATACTGGGGGAAGACACTTTTGAGATGGTAAAACTTTGGTGCTTTACCAAAGGCTCTTTAGTTTATGCATACTATTATCGGTTTTGTCTATTTATCATTCCAATTCAAAACGTAGAGAGAGTAAAAAAGTATACAGGACAAACCTATGCATTGAATTAAAATTTCTGAAGGACTGAGACTTTTCTTGGCTGAACTCCACTTCAAGACATCTTCAACTGTGCCTAAAATTATTCGCATTGTTTCATGTTCCTAATCCAAAAAAAAAACCAAATGAGAAATAATTTGAAATTAAACTTTGGAAAAAGTTAGAGTTTTGTTTGGATGGAATTAAGTAAAAAAATCACGCCAACACTGCAAAGCTTCAAAATCTTTTACGCTTTTTCAATGGTTTGGAGGGAAATCAAACATTTTCATTCAAAAATTTTGTGCAATTACGTAAGTATAATCTTCTTATTTTAGTTGATGAAGAGGAATGTCTGTGCCTCTGTTAAAAACTTACAAGAGTTAATTTGAGCATGGAAGCTCATCTTGTGCTGATAAAGACTGATCACGTGAATATAGACTTTCATCGAAGAAAAATTTTAAATGTCGAGAGAATCTTAACTCTAACTTTTGGAAAGAAAAACTATTATAAGTATCTAACTCTTAAACTTCATTGATCTCAGACGCATTTCAAGGCCTCTTTCAAATCTATTTTCTCAAAATTAGACCACAACTCACCGAGAATGGACTTTTGATGTCACTGATTTTAATACTAAGAGAGTCGTAGAGAAGGTCTAAAAAAACGCATAGAATCGATGCAATTTGAAAAAAGTGGATTTTTTTACTGTATGAATTTGATGAAGTTAAAAACTGGAACTTACACCTCTTCCTCCTTCTTTCCTTAGAAGGAAAGATGAGCCTACATCCATTGGTACTGGAGTTTCAAGTTCTTTCTGTTTTGTATGGCTTTTAGTTTTAGACCATGCTGCACCATCTTCATGCTCGTTTTCCATCAAACTCTTAACTCTTTTATTTGAGCTTTCCATAGCATTCTGAGACACATTAGAACACTGCTGACTGCTGAGTTGATGAAATGCGAGAGGTTTTCTCAATATTATAGGATGGCATCTGTGAACATCCAGATGTGGAGGCAAAAGAAACATTTTGAGAGGCAGGAGGAATATTTTTTGGCTTTAAAGCATCCCGAGTGCTATTCTCAGTGGATGTGTTTGCAATTTCAACTCCAGGGAGATGCATATTTTCTTGATTCATAAAATTTTGGGTGCTTTGCGAGGCAGACATTCTGGACTGGTTTTGACTTAAAGGTGACATAAAGTTGAACGGTGGAAAGCTACTAGGATTGAGGGTAAAGGCAGATCCAGATTTCAATGCACACGGGCCAGATTGAGAAGGCATTGAGTACATCATAGGATTAAAAGGCTGGCTCATCATATTTTGGAAAGGCATAAATTGCGGTGGTTATGGCGGCATGAAGGGGACATTGAACAGCCCCTGGGGCATGAACATGGGATTCATTCCAGCATGGCTTGAAAAATTCATTTCAGGTTGGTTCAAAGAACTTGAAGAGGGCTCATTATTTCCTGTAGAACTCCTGAAAGAAACAAAAAAAGAAAGCTAAAAAAATGAGAAAAATACAGCTTCCAAAATATGAGGCATGGAGAGGCACAAAGCTTTCATTTGCAATTTTAGGAAAAGTACAGAGTATATGATAAAAATGATTATTCTTTTTACTCTCAATATAAACGGATTCCTGTACCTTAAACCAGTGGGTTTCTCCGAAATGATTCAATGCCCACTATGATTTTCGCCCACGTATTCATTAATTTTTAACCGTTGCAAAAACTCAAAATGAGATACTTACTTATTTTACTTTTAGTTTGCCAAATTGACCCGAAGCTAGCTGTACAGAGCTGTAAGAGGAAGAGGAAGTAGAGGAGGAAGAGGAAGAAATGAGGAAGAAAAGAGGAAAGAAAGAGGAAAGAAAGAGGAAAGAAAGAGGGAGGAAAGAGACAGAAGGAGAGATGGAAGGAGATGAAGGAGAAGAATAGGAGGAAAAAAATAATTAAAGAAAATAGAGAAGAAGAGGAAGAAGTAGAGGAGGATATGTTTCCTTTCTCGGTAAATTTTTTTAAAATGAGGCGGCAGGCGGCTCGCGTGGCAAGCGGGGAGCGATTTGCCCGACGACCGTGACGGTTTGAATAGCGAGCTAATCAAGGCTAGTTGCTGTATAAATTCATTGAAATATGGTAAAAAATACAATACTCAAAAATATTGAGCGCGTGGTGCGCATACCATTCACACGTGTCAATACATGTATGACAGAACACGGATAACAGTTATATTTCATGCGGCGCGCGCGTTGTGTCACGCCCGTCAATTTGAAATCTCCCGCCAATTTTTAAAACGTCCCGCACAGACTTTTGACGGCATCTCACCATTCAGCATTTCTCATTGGCGCGCTTTCTCGTGTTTTTATTTACCAAAAACTCGCCTTCGCTTTTGCTTTGTCCTCGTGGTGTGCGAAGTGCGAATTATCTGTGAAATACTCGTTTTAATTGATTTTTTAGTCATATATTCCTCTGAAACTGAATGACTAGATATTTCAGGATAAGAAGAACCTCAGTGAATTTGTGATTTTCCGTTTACGATTCCCGTAGTCACTATGGGTATTCAGGGTTTATCGAAACTGATTCAGGATGTCGCTCCGGGTGCAGTTAAAGAAAGTGAAATCAAAACGCATTTTGGTAAGTTTCTCATGCAGCATCTGGTGAAACTTTAGCACATGGTATCTCCTCTTTTATTAAATTTATAAATCTCTAAAACTGCCTAAGTGAAGAACTTTCTTATCAGGGGAACGACGAGGAACCTCTCATTGCGTTTATGGATTTGAAACCTGTCTATTCTTAACGTGTATCCAGAAGACGCATCTTAGACGCATTTTAATGGTATCTCAGATGCATTCATTGTAACGGATGCAATTGCAGTAAAGTGTAGCTGCTTGATTGTAAAGAGTAGAGATGCCCTCCATCAAAATATCTCTGATCACCGCCAAATCTTGAATAGGGTTTTTTTTATCTGAACTGCAGAGGATCATGGATGATCCACGTTACTTTCTATCCAGGGTTACTGTTGTGGTCCAGCCCCTTTCATGTGTTTCAGTGGAATGCTTGGATCGTTCCTCTGAAATGGGTTACGTGCGATTCTAACCTCTTGCAGAACTGCTTGGAACGTGTAGATACATAATCCAATCTGTTGCGTTCCATAGATATAAAAGGGCCCCAGTAACTAAGTACCACCATTTATTAATTTTTTACTTTCTCCAATTTCAGGACGGAAGGTGGCAATTGATGCCTCAATGAGCCTTTACCAATTTTTAATTGCAGTGCGCAGTGAAGGAGCACAATTGACGTCTGTTGATGGTGAAACAACCAGGTAAAAACCTTTTTTTCATGAGGATGTTGATGATTTTTGCCAATGTGCGTTCAAAATGCAGTCTGAATCTGATTTCTCTTTATAGGGAGAAAAAGCTCATCCTATCACAAATTTTCTGCCAAGAGAGCTATGCTGTTTGATGCAATACTAGTCCTGACCAATCAGGAAGGCAACTTCTGATGCGTTTTGGGTCTAACAGGGCCCATCATCAGTGCAGCATAGCCCTCTGATTCTACACTTCCAAGCTTGAAGAGGTCATGAGGACTATATGAGAAGAAGTACGAACAATGGTCGAAGAGAAGGATTGCCTTTTCTCGAAAAGTGTGAAGTGGCAGGAATTCATCTTGAAGATCTCTTCTTTAAGAACCACAATATGTTTCATCTCTTACTTCCTTATCTTGAAAATATTTTCCAAAACCTCTTTTGTTCAGATGAGAACAATTTAAAATACTTACTTTTTCGTCAATGTAGAGAACTTTAATTATAAAAACTGGGCTCTGTTTCAGTCATTTGATGGGAACTTTCTACCGCACAATCAGGTTGGTGGAAGCAGGTATCAAACCTGTTTACGTTTTTGATGGTAAACCACCAACACTGAAGTCAGGAGAGTTAGACAAGAGGAAGGAAAGAAGAGAAGAAGCAGAAAAAGCTCTGAAAGTAGCTGAAGATGCAGGTGGGTAACAAAATTTTCATCATCATGAAAGAAGGCAATGGAGATACATTACACCTCCACTCGTCCTCTTTAACCACTCTAAAAACAGTTGATTTCAGTCCCTGTTTGTCAATAGTCATGCACTGATGAACTGACCTATGAAAAGCTTTGAAATTCAGATCTTAAATTTTCCATTGTTTAATTTCATTAAGAAATTAAATCTTTAATGACAGTATTTCAAAAGTGCATTTAAATGTGCTTCTTAAAGAGTTGTTAGTTTTTCTCTGGATTTTATTCTGCTAAATACAGAGTTGTATACTTCTCTATACTTATAATACCAGTTTAAAAGTTGTCAACCCTTCCCAGGTACAACACTTGATTGGACTTTTACGTCTGAATTTCATAGTTTGCCATCACTTGAATCCATCTCTGTCCAGTACTTCAACTCATTTCCGTATGGTAGCCAAATGCTAAAATATGAATGGAAATCATGGTACCTTTTTTTTTCTTTTTAGAAAAGCAAAGAACTGCAGAATAACAGAGTGAATGTATCATCTCCTCATATGCAGTTTTACTGCGTCAACTTTTTTCATAATTCTTAACATTTTAAGAGCCTCATACTCATAATACAAGTAATCTTTGGAAGCATTTGCATTTGTGAAGACTTTTGAGGTGAGGTGAGATGAAATGTAAAGTGAAGATCGTCAACCTAAGTCCATAGAATCTTAATTAAATCTTATTCACAACTGTAATATTTGAGAACATCCAAGTCAACAAGCTTCCAACTCATTCCTTGAGCATTTTCTACCCAAACATCAGTAAAATCATACATCGTCTAAACATTTTACTCCCTTGACGTCATTTGAAAAAATAACAAAAATATAAAAAACTCTATAGAAAAGGATTTTATTGTTTGCAACTTGTACATTTCCAAGAATTTGATCTGAACTGAAAATGATTTTGATAGGTGATTTGGAGCAGATTGACAAGTTCAACCGAAGACTTGTGAAGGTAACATCAACCCACAACCAAGAATGCAAGGAGCTACTAAAATTGATGGGGATTCCTTTTATCACTGTATGTATTATCGTTTTTAAGCTTAAGGTTTCAAATAGATCTTTATATTCTGTTTTCTTTTTATAAAAACAGTCATTAGGAGCTCTTTAGATGGCATGGTCGTCGATAGGTGACAAGGCAGAAATAATTTTTAAGCAAATATCCTAAAAATTCATTTTGATCCGGTCATCAAACCTTAAAACCAAACAATTGATTTAAGGATTCAAAAGAAAAGATTGCCGGAGGAGGAGAGTCGACCACAGTAATTTATAAAATCAATCTAACAGAGAGCATAAAGAATACCCTTCTTTGTAAATTTTTTGTGAATATTTAAGGGCAGCCAATAAAACACAAACCAAACCATTTTTTTTTTTTTTTTTGTCAAGAACAGGCTTGTCTTCTTTACAAAAATCTCATTCTCATTTGTTTTTGTTTTTTTTCAGGCCCCCTGTGAAGCAGAGGCCCAGTGTGCTGCCTTGGTGAAGGATGGCAAAGTATATGCTACAGCAACAGAGGATATGGATGCGCTAACTTTTGGCTCAACAGTTCTTCTCAGGCATTTAACATTCAGTGAAGCACGGAAAATGCCTGTCCAAGAATTTCACTTCCAAAAAGTTCTTGATGGACTCGAATTGAATCGAGAAGAGGTTTGACTCCCCACTAAATTTTTAACTACTCAATTTCACTGTATTTTTTAAAGCTAACTGAATGATGGAAAATTAATGTCTAATTCCAGAATTTTCCCATCTCTGGCATGCTGGCTTTGTTTCTAATTTTCCTGAGTGTCTTTTTGAAAAGAAATTGATCATATTGGAGCAAATGCCGCACCTCTTTTAATGGTATATTAAATGCAAGTGAGCCTTAGAAAAAAAAAGAGGCTGCTTATGAAACAGGGAATCTTGGAAATGACTAATGTAAGTACAACAGTGGTGAAATCGTGCGCATAAAACTTAATTTTTTTAACAGAACACAGTTAGACATTTTTGCACAAAGATCTAGAAAGCACACAAATCTCCCGACCAGCCACATCAATTGCAGAAAAATTTGGATTTTTAATTCGGCTTCTGTTCGGCAACATCTCAAAACAAATTGAAAAAGTATGGAAATTCTCTAATCAATTTATCCTCTGAAGAACAGGTTTGATTACCAAAGTGCGCAGCCTTACCTGTAGTTTTATCATGGAGACATACTTTGAACTTTTCGATGATTTTGTAGGCTTTGTAACCTTCTAATCCGACCATGATTTTCTTGACAAAAAGAATTAACCAGCATTATGTGTGCATGTTCCAGTTCATTGACCTATGCATTCTTCTTGGTTGTGATTACTGTGATAGTATTCGTGGAATTGGTCCCAAAAGAGCCATTGATCTCATCAAACAGCATCGCAACATTGAAACAATCCTCAAAAACATTGACACCGAAAAATACGCTGTTCCTGAAAACTGGTTATACAAGGAGGCCCGCCAACTTTTCGTGAATCCTGAAGTTGCAGACCCAACTACAATTGAGGTTTGACTTTTTCTGCTCTATAAATCTGGAATTTGTTGCACAGGAACGAACTTGACAAGGAAATTTTTTACTCACTTGCACTTTTTTGTTTGCTATGGTCAGAACAGGGATAACCATCAGCAACTTTGATGATTGTCACCTAGAATTACAGATGAAACGCACTTGAACATAACCAATTAAAAAGTGCTCGCAAGTAAAATAACTTCTTATTATTTTTTGTCATTTTCAGTCATTCAGCCCAAAGTAAATATTTCTGGAGGGTCTTTCTTAACTGTTGGTAAAATCAGAAGACACATGGTATCAAAGAGAAGTGTAAAAATGACAAAGAAAAAACTGAATGCCCAAATGCTCAATCTTGGCTTTGATGTCTAGGGTATGACGCTACTTTACTGTACCAAGTCATCGAGGATCTATAATTCTATAAACTCTGCTTTTAACTTTAAACTTTCCAAACTTCTTTATTTTATCAAAGGAGGACTAACCAACGCTATTGCTTGAAATTTTCTTAGAATAATGTTTACACAGATAGAAAAATTCAGGGAAGTTTCCAGAAATAATGTTGATTAGTTTTTCATTCAGGAAATAAATTCTATCAGGAATGGACCACTAGACAAGGTACGAATTTCAGCATTCTGATACATGTTTCGTAACTAAAATTTCACGTAAAACACGATGTGCACGATCAAAATTGCCGAAATTAAGTCCTTACGAAAATATTTAATGATTCCTGATGCGTGAATTCAAACCACCCGCTCATGATAGCTCAATGCTCTACGTGATTCACATCGCGCGCTAAACGTTATCATGACAGTCTCTGCGATATAAAAATCTGGCAACCTCACTCTTGAAGCTTTGCTTAGCTATAGCAAATTGTAATAGTGTGAACAACACATGGTGGGAAATGAACATTGCTCGATTGAGAAGCTTGCTGAAACCGTTGTAGTGCGCGATTTGACTCACGTAGAGCTTTGAGTTTCTTGTAAGCGGGCAGTTCAAATTCCTCGTAACCAATGTGAAATAAAAACGTTAATATCTTCGTTAGGAGTTGGTTTCAGTAATTTTAGTTGTACGAATTGTGTTCGACGTGAAATTCTGGTTAAGGAACATGTATCAGATTGCTTAAATTCTTACCTTGTCTAGTGGTCCATTCTGCAATATTGCAAACGGAAATACTAGTTCCTGCAGTTTCTCTGTTGATATGAGCTTGAGTGCAGTATCAATAAAACTGTCACTTTTACCTGCGAATTTACTCTAAGTGGAGGAAACCTAATTTCAACAGAGATGACTCAATGATTGTTGTAGTAATTTCACTTATTTTACATGTCCCCTGGATATTTAAGTTAATTTATCGATGTGGTTTTTTAGTATCAAATCATTTTTAATCAAGTTCTTTCTTTATTCCTAGATTATTGTGAATAATTGTGTTTTCTTTTTATCATATTTACAGTTGAAATGGACAGATCCTGATGAAGAAGGCCTAGTTAAATACTTATGCGGAGATAAAGCGTTCAGTGAAGACCGTGTCCGAAGTGGGGCAAAAAAATTATTAAAAGCTAGGTCAACTACAACGCAAGGAAGGCTGGACTCATTTTTCAAAGTTATCCCAAGTGAAAATAACACACAGAAAAGAAAGGTTAGTGCTTCTTGTCTCATCTTTCACTTTACACCTAATGAGCCATCATTTTTGTGCCGGTTTGTCACTGATCATTTTTCGATCTTCGGAAAAATTAATATTTTCATTCAATAAGTTCCACTAGGTACCACTAAAAAATGTCATGCAATTCTTTTTTTTTTATGCAATTTTCAATAGATTATAGTCACTGGGGTTTACTAAAATTTTTACTGTTGACACCTATTCAGTTTGAATGGGTTTTTGTAACCATAGATCGTATTCGATACATCAAACGGGTGAGATTGTATCGATATCGATTGGTTCAAAACATAAACATAGCCTCAAAAGTAAATTCAGAAATCTGAGGGAACGGGTCTTTTGTAACAGATTTTTTATTCTTTTGCGTACCAAATGCCAACGTAATGTGAAATTGTTAGAAATTTTCTCGTTTTCAGCTTTTCCAACTTTAATCCTTTTAGTTTGGTTTGAGGTTATGTTCCATTGTTTTGAACCAAACGATACATCGAACCGTTATCGAATACGGTCTATAGTAGAGGGTTCTTTTCATGGCTCAAGGCTTTGAATTGGTTAATTGGTCATTCTACATATTCTCCATCCTACCAAGAGCTATAAATTTCAACTACTTCATTGACGTGTGAGAATTTCTTCTCTCGCAAGATATAATTCTCTGTTGTGCGTCATTGGTGGAATTCATATGATCGGTTTGAATTATTTCTAAAAAGGCATACTTTATCGCATGTTTTTAGCTAGTGCAGTTATTTGGATAGCTACTGATAATGAGTTGTTGAAGGCATAATTTCAAGTTGAAATAGCATGTTATTCGGTGCGGTTTGTGCAAATAATGATGTTTGAAGTGACCTAGTTGTTACAATGATTTGAAAATTTATTCAGAAAAAAGTTTAAATTCTAATACTTTTGGACTTAAACCTGAACAAAATAATAATTTCAACTCACAATCGAGTATTGGAGAGATTGAAGGTTTTATTACATGCATGCTAATTGAAAATTGGTGGTCTGGTTGTTCAATGAGACTCTACTCCCAGGAGATTGCAGTCAAATTGGTATTTCTGCAGCCAAATACAGCTTAGTGTTTTAAAATTTACTGTTGACTCTAAAGTGTGCATCATTTGTGGTTTGAAAGGAACCTGGAAACAGCATAGTTCTCTATTGAATGTAATGGAATTAAGTCAGTCAAAATATTAAATCTTCCGGAATTTCGGCTTTGACGATTTTTTTTCTTTCTTTTTTTATGGTAGTGCCTCACCGTAGTTGCAAGTTTATCATGGTTGATCTGATTGCTTATTTTTTAGATACATAGACATTTTTATTGAACATGAAAATGTCCATCTTAATCTTTGCTCGCACTTTTCCTGAATCTTTGCATATTGACTATCTATTAGGTGTGGTTAGCTATTCAACAAGGATTGTTTTGAATAGAACAGGCTTTATGTTTGAATTATGCTCAATAACTCAAAAGTGTTTCTTATTTGCTAGTTTTGAGACCTCTCTATTTCTGATGCATCCGGTGTGTTCTTTTGATTAAATCTAAAAGTTTAACTTGTCTTCCTACTTCTCCACTCTCATATTTTTGAAAATTGGTAAGTCAATACCTATTTCTAAGTTGGTGTTTTGTCTCTCAAGCTCTTTATCCATCTGTTTTTGAGGTTGGAATTGACTATTACTCGTAATTGAATAATTTTGGTTCCGTGTGTGGGCGTTGATTGTATGTTCGTGGATCTCACTTGCTGCTTTTGATGTTTCAGAGCGAAGATAATAAAAAAGGCCCTGCCAAAAAAGTCGCGAAAAAGGGAGGCACACCATACCGAGGCAAACCAAAGTAATCGCGCCAACTTTAACTATGTTTTATTCTATTTTATGCATCTGCAACAATTAGTTTGGATTCCTATCCGTTTTGTGTCTTTTCTCTCATCCTTTGTAACTAGAAGTTCGTTTCTCAGCGGATTAGAAATAAAGTATTTTCTCTTTTGATTGTTAAATAACTGGTTAGCCTGGTGATCGAATTTGAAGCTGCTTATTGGTCATGTGTGTGTCTCATACTAATCATAGTAATTTAAAGTTGTCTCATCAAATTTTTGATGTAGTGTCTCTTTGCCAGAAAATCGAGTCCTTACAGACGAAAGTCTGCTCTGATCCAAAAATGTTCCTTCCTTAAACTTAATTTTTAGAACAATATTGCACTCATTTCCTTCTATTTAATTTTTATCACATTTTTTAAATAACTACTAGAGTCTAAGGTGATTAGTTACATTTTTTATCGGTAAAAGGTACTTTCCTACAAAATCAGGGCTCGTGTATTATGGTTAAAGTACCTCAGGAAGATAGAGAAAAATCTGCCTAACATCTCCAGGGAAATTTTGTAATTTTTGTCATATATATACCTCTGCAATGCTCTGCAGCAGGGAAGAAACATGCATTTACTAATATGGTTGTCAGTTTCATTCCTGTTATATTATTTCATGATTATGACATATTTATTTTCAATACATAAATTATTCACAATCACTTAATTCTTACTTCATCGTTCCTGACTTAACTTTTGTTCTTACCTCTTTTCAACCCTGTTTACTTAACTGGAATTTTACTAATGGAAGGAATTCCTCATATTTTGCATTGAGGTATGAGCTATCTCTATAATGCTGAAACTTAAAATATACACTCCTAAATTGAATGAAAGTCAAAGAAAAAAAGGAGAAGTAACAAATATTAATTTTTTTCTTTAAATGTGAGCTCATTGAGATTTTTTGTGTTTCTGAGAGAAATAAAGGCAAATAATTTAATAAAATTTACACGAGGAGGGAGGAAACACAGATTTTTCAAGCCGTTCAAACTTTTCTAAAAAAACACTGTTTTATTTTAATGCTTACGAGTGGATTTTTTTATAGAGATGTTCAATTTCATGAAATGATTTATTTTTATTTTAAAAAGAAAAACAGGTTAGAAAGTTTCAAGAGTGGTTGATTAGTTTAGATAACTGACTCTAAAAAAATAGAACTCTGCTCAGTCTTCTCTGCCAGTCAAAGGGAACTTTTGAATTTTCGATCGTACCTGTATTTCTTAGATGCTAAGATATCTTTTTCTTCTCCACTTCTGAGCACGGCCAAAATTGTGTACTGTTCGAAAATATAGTCATCTTAAAATAATATTACATCATCAATAGCTGGCACAACACAGTTTAAGTTGATACAAATATTGCAGGTTGCATAAGCCGGCAAATGAAGGCATTTCAAAATCCCTATCATATTGGCTGTCATTCTGTCCTTTAAGTTCATACGTCATACAGATTGCAATATCATATTGAATCTTCAGCCCTGATTAATACTTGGGTACGGACAATGTTGGATATAATTGATATAAGTTCATTTTTTAAGTGGAAATTCGAAAAATATGTGGCATCTTGGAAATCCTGTTTTCCCCTCCCCCCTAACCTAAGAAAAGTTTTCCTGTTGGATCAACTGAATTCCTCTTAACTATGCTATGACAGGAATTTCTCTTCCAAACAAAAGGAAATCTCCTTTTTTCAAAGAGTATTTGGTATTCCTTCCAAGTGATGTCCTGTTGCTTTGAAGAGATTTCTGGTCAAGTCATTGAAAATTCCTGCATTATTCCTGATTTTGATGAGTTTCCATAAATGTTGGAGCATTTTGGATGCAGTTTTTTTGCCCCTAATTGAGTTGCCATTTTCAATCTTATTTCTTACAATCTTTTTGCAAACGTTTCATCACTTACTTTTAATTTTGTAGGTTTTTCACCGATTTTGAGTAGTAGTATACTTGCTATTTTTACCCCAAATCCAATAACGTCATTAAGGAGAGATAGCGTCTAATAGAATTTCACACATTTTCATCTTACATTTTCACAATTTTCGAAGAGGGAAGGGCACCCTGATCACCTTTGAGGTAAGGAATATTCTATATCGCCCAGACCTCTCTAACCTTCCCCTAAATCTGTCAAAATTTTTAAAAGTAGGCTAAAGTTTCATCGTATGTAACAAAAAGTTCAGGGTAGGATTCGTTATCGGGAACTGCTAAATTTTGCATGAGAACAGCCTCAAGATGCATATCAGAAGGTTCAATTTTCCAAAAATTTTCTTGGAAAACTCCCCAAGATCCCTGTTTGTACTGGAATAACCCCCTTGGAAAAACCTGGGGTAACAACCCCCCGCATAATTGCTTCAGCTACATTTATGGACTCGTTATTGGACACTGCTTAATGCTGCATGAGAGCAGCCTCAAGATGCATTTCAGAGAGTTCAATCTTCCACAAATTTTCTAGGGAAACCCCCCAAGATCCCTCTTTGTACCGGGAAAACCCCCCTGGAAAAACCTTGGGTAACAACTCCCCGGATAAGTAATTGCTTCAGCTACATCTGTAGACTCGTTATTGGACAGTACTTAATGTTGCATGAGAACAGCCTCCAGATGCATATCAACGGGTTCAATTTTCCACAAATTTTCTAGGAAAACCCTCCAAGACCCCTCTTTGTACCGGGAAAAACCTGGGGTAAAAACCCCCCGGATAATAGCTTCAGCTACATTTACGAATCCCGAGTCTGTCGTAAGAAGCAACCATGACGAAACTCCCGACGACCTCTAGCGGATTCAACCGGTGACAAGATCGTCGAGTCCCACCATGGTTCAACCTAGGAGAACCGAGTTTTGACTGTCAGTCGAACACCGCGAGGGTCCGAGATCCACTTGTCTCGCGGCTCAAAGAAACGGAGTAAAAAACCGCCGCGGCACCCGGAGCCGCCGCTCCGCGCCGAGTGACTTTCACTTGTAGTCGCCGAGTCGGCCGGCAGAGCGCGCGCGGATCGCCGCCCGCCGTAACTTTCCCCTGTGCAAATGAAATCTAAGTCAGTAACTTTTGTAATGGCCATGTTGCCAGGTGCCAAACAGCTGTTCTGTGTTGTGATTTGGACCGTGTTCTCGCTTTTCATCCTCGGCAGCTATGCTGGTAAGCCTTTTTCCGGCTTTTCCGTATGTTTTCTCGCCAGACGTCCTAGTTTTGCCAAATCTTAGGTGGCTCGGGAAGGAAGTCGATGTTTCTAAATCTAATCTTCGAGCTCCTAGAACTGATGCAATTGCTCGCGATTCCAACCTTACTCGTACTACCAACCTATTTAGCACTGAGTGTCGACCCTTTCATCTATGTGCACCTCATAGGATTTTTGTTACCTTTTTTATAAGCGGACTTTCGGTGTCGAGTTTATAGAACGCCTCATAGAAGTGGATCTTTCGCTCTGTTTTATTTATAAAAAAATTATTTAGATTTAGATTTTTTGGACCCTCATCAACCAGGCAATATTCAGAGGGAAACGGAACCTAGTGTGTTGGAAAAAATGGGGTCTGCCCCTTACTAGGTTGACAGAATCCTCGGTAAGGTAGGTAGGCGTATTTTGAGCCTGGTTCCTCGCATGAATTGAGTTTCACTCGGGAGCAGTTACAGAGGAATCTACCAATCTTTTAGACTCTCTGTAATTTAATGTAGGTCCTCATCCAGCAAAGAGAGGAACCAACCAAAACAACTACAACACTAACAATACAATCATTTTTTAACGAGGCTCGATTTTTCTCTTTCTCAATAAAATGCGAAGAAAATGTTTTTTGATTAATTAAAATTAAAATTCTGGTACTGGAAATAGTTTTCATGACAATTGCTATGAAATTATGATGATACCATATTTAGATTACTTAAGTCTGCAGCTATAGACTAATTTGATAGCCTCTCGTCGAATATTATGCTTATTTGATCAGCAACAAAACGTAGAACGAAATAATTCCTCTGTAACAAGAATGTGAAAACGAAAGAATTTATAATACTTATATTTTCCTCTAATATTGAGTCGAAGTCGAAGTTAATGGCAAAAAATTCCACCAGTAATAAACGACAGTCATAAACAGACGCTTTGTTTTTATCAGATTCTCACGCTTTATTCGAAATTTTATATTATTTTTTATTTATTTTTTTATTAATACTTAAATGTCAACTACTCGACATGGGTCCTATTTCTTGGAAATCCTTCTCACATCTTTTTGTAAAATATAACTTGAAAACTTCGTGCGATAACTACTAAATACCAGTCAATGGTAAAATTCGATTCGCAAAGTCACAAATCGTCCCGTTTTGTTTTTATGGGTGAAAACAAACAAACCATTTTTATTTTTTATTTTTTTCATGAGCGTGCTCTTTTTCGCCCTTTTTAGAGACTTTCCTCATTATCAAATTAAATATGAAAAATAAAACATTGAGGAAGTCTCAAATACCTCAACCGAGAAACATTTCAAGTTCCGTCTTCAACGCACCGTCTCTAACACGTAAACCGTAATCCATTCAGGAATGACATAAATATAAAGAAGCCTTCCTTAACGTCGGTCGCGACATTAATGGAGCAAGGAACTCAATCTGAGTTTATTTCCGACTTCAGGATGATGAGAGGAGTGTACCCTCTCTTATCGTCCAGCTTTGGATACATTTTTGGTGAAGGTCGGAACAAAATATCGAAAGAAACTTAACGTAAAAGTTGGGCTTTTTTGTTGGTCCAGCGTTAAAGTCTCCGCGTCATTTCAATGATAAAGAGTGCGGGTGATAATGTCGCCGATAAATCCCCTATCCGCCCGCCATGAGACAATCGTACTCGTCATATCTATTGTAGTTTTGTCGCTTTGCTTTAGGAGGGGAGGGGGTATAGAAGGTGAAGGAGGAGGGGGGGGTGCACTGTTCAATCGCACCCAATCGTTTATGAAATTCTCATGGGTTGAAGTAAAGGTTTAGGAACGTCAAAGCTGCAATTAGAAGTTTCGTTCTTTTCCGAATATATTTTCATCATGTGTGCCTGGTGTCCACCCTCCTTTCTGATGTCTTCCTTGCCTCCAGGACAAACCACGAGGACTCCTTGAAATCCCTTGAACAATTTTAAGTAATTTGCTTAAGAGCTGTTGAAATGCGCCGCTATAAAGTTCAGAACCCATATGGAAAAAACCCTATAGCTAGTATGAAAAACCGAAGTCCACTCTGTATATGAACTTGGACACGTTTATTTCAACTTAGTTGACCGTAATAATTACGGTCAACTAAGTTGAAATAAACGTAACACAACAATTATTGTGAAGCTGTTTGTCTCCAGATCTTTATCTAAGATACCGAGGGAAAGCTCTGAAGATAATAAGAGAAAATTCAGGATGATCTGAAATTATTAACGCCGCAAAATGAAAAGGCGTTTATCTTGGACTAAAATAGGAGTTTTTCCTCCCTAAATTTTCTAGAAATCCCCCCCTCCTTCTAGTACAAATTAAAACCAATTCTGTGAGAAAAGTGTTAATATACCTATATCTTATTCTGCTCCCAAGGTGGCTTTACTTGAAACCATTTGAAGTAGATCATATTGACGGTGTAAGTCGGCAATCACATAACTCGGTTTGCGACGTCGGAGACTTCCTGTCATACTTTATTATTTAAACGGAAAACTAATCAACGGAAATTCTTTACAACTGCCGTGATTTTTCTCCTCTGGACG